GGGAGAAGGGAAACCTGGAGTGAACTAAAACATACCCTTTCAGGAAAATGGCAATACCCCTTAGTTGCTTTACTCTATGGAAAGTATGATAAGGTTGTGGAATTACATTTAATTAAAGTGAGAAGAAAATTAAAATGAATATCTTGAATTAATTCTTTTGTTCTTGAATAGGAGTGTGTGGGAGAATGCTAGCCCTCCATCAGATCCTTCAGACACCATTCTAGAGGGCTCATTGCTTCACAAGAAAGACATACACGGATCGCAGGACACACTCTACCATAGCTGCTGGTCTCTGTCTGATTTCCCAGGAAATGAGAAAAATGATGAGGCTAATGAAGATGCTAAGAGTCTGAATGAGAGTTTGCTGCCCAGTAATTCAGGTCCAGGACTGATGGACCTTGGTTTAAAGTGGTCCAGTTATGGAAGTAGTATCCATGGCAACCCAGTATGGGCCAACATTCCCAGTGTAAGGGTCAATTTAAGATTTCCTTAATCATTTGCTTGATGAGTGTGTCATGACAATTGTAGCGTTCTAGTTTCAAACGAATGTTCTCTAGAACTCATTGCAAAGGCATTTTAAGCTAAATTAAGGAAAAAAGCCTTATCTTCAGTTCACCCTCTGAATAATACTTCTCTCCCTTTGAAACTTTTCCTTCCTTGACATTACCAAAGATTTAATCTTCCCACAAAGTTTGTAGGGGTATTTTTTCAAGCCATGCCCAAGGGAAGGGGGAGCGACCATATTATAGTCAGTAGATTTTATGTAGTTATATGTGCGAATCATATTTTACAACCCAAAACTACTGAAACAGATAGATTAATTTTGTTGACTGTTATACTATGCCTGGTCATTGGAGAAAATGGATGTTAAATTCTTTGTTTCGATCTTATTTGGTGATTTTGTAGGCTTCTGCTAGCAATTGGAATCAGTCCCAGGAATCCCTTACCGCTGATGGATCAGGAAGAGGAAAGACTGTGTTCTCTCTTGGACTTGGGATTACTGGACCAGACCTGCTAGCTGCTGCTCGGGGAGGAAGGTACTTTATGTAGCAAAGCATGAATTGAATATGTGGCATACTGAGTACCCTGCAGGTTCTGATTGGTTAAAAACCAATGTAATTTGTTTGTATCAGAGTGTAAAACGTAGCGCTTTAAGACACTCTTGTTATCTAAAAACTCGTGAGGAATACAGGAAGCTCTTGCCTTTTGCGCAGAGTTACTGGTAACAGTGTAAGAAAAGAAGTGCCCGGACTGGCACACGCTTTATAAATTTGGACGCGAGCAAAGATATCTGGGTTGAGCACATCTATTTGAGGCGTTCTAGCAACACTTGGAAAGGTTCTTCCCTGTATTGGCTCGTTCCGTTGGATTTCCCTTTTATTTTTCTACATTCTTTTTAAATTTTCGATGTGACATCGTTAGATTTATCTTCAAAACTTAATTTTTTATCAAATATTTTACGAGTGGGTCGTGACCTCGTGGGTAGGATTCAGTTTTGGAGGCGTTTGTACGTTTCTAAACATATCAACGCGTGCTGTTGTATGTGTGATCCATTAGTACTTTTGATGATCTTAAGGTACATCCTTGTCAGGATAAGTGTATTTTTTTGTTTGATTTATAGCTGCGAGGCAATGCCGACAGAGAGTGTCTCCTTTATACCAAATATCGGAAAGCCCTGGAGTGTGGAAGACTTGGCGCAAAAGGTTAATGTGCGTCATCTTCTGTTTGTTTATTTGTTTGTTTGTTTTTCCTTCCTTCCTTTTCCCTCTCACCTTCTTACTTAATGTTCCTTTTCATTAGTTGACAAGAGACTTAAAAACGTAAAATTCATTATGCGATGGTAACTGCCCAAATATTTTGAACGAGGCACTCTCCTAGTTTTTAATTGTTGTCTCTGCACTTGGGTTTTGATTCTCGTCAAAATCCCGCTGGGAAGTGAGTGTGGTAAAATTGACCCGTCCCACAAGCGGATCACCTCGGTATCAGTCGCTTTTTTTGTTTCATCACGGGCCATAGGTGTTTTGTTATTTGGTTAACTTCTCTTTTTCATTTTTTTATCAAGTTAACAGTGAATTTTAATACCTGATCATTTTTATAATTTTTAATTTCATCAGAATCCGTGGTCTTCTCGAGATTCCTCCCCTCCCCCGCTGTGGGCTAAGACAGCATCATTAACGGAAGACACTCTGAGGCCTTCCCACCATCGGCCTCCGCTTCCTCCGCAGCACTACAGTGACCCTTTTCCACCAAGGGAGAACTGGTGGCCTCAGGGGAGGGGTGCTGTACCTTTAGGATATCCCCACCCCTCCTCTGCACGGTACCATACAAACCTTCAGCGTCAACGTGCTTTTGACAATATGCCATACGGGAAGCTGGGTACTTTGCATCGTGGCCGCGGTACAGCGGGCGCACAATCGGCATTCCAACCGGTTCCAACAAGTTTTCGTAAGCAAGGTCAGAAGTTACCGCAGGCTCACCTTCAGGTACCATCACACTATGGAGCAGGGCATGGATCCCAATACAAGTCAAATCCCCGCTTTTAGTTCTAGTGGGAGTTAAGTAGATGTAAACTTGTCATCTTTAGCAGAGCTAGGTCATTATTTATCGCCGGGTGAGGGATGTTGGAAGATTTCGGAATTTCACGATAAAAAAATCTGATTTTCCCTCGTCCCAAGGACTCTGATTTTGCTATGACCCCTCTCCCCCATTGCCAATTGATTGGTAGGTAATTTTACAAAGCCGCCCCCCCTCCTTATACTTTGTTGGCACGACTGTTTCCCACACCACCCCCTCTGAAAACCACTTGTGTCTTGCCAAGGCGTTTAATAATGACTGCTCTCTTAGTAACTGATGTATTATTTAACCTGTGTTCTTAATTCTTTTTGGAGAGTCCTCAAATTACTGTTGTGGTAGACATTATACTACCTTAATTCTGTACCCGATGAGCCGAAAAAATGTTTGCCGTGGCAGATCTAGGGGAGGGGCAAGGGTAAAAAAGTAAACGCAGAGGGAAGAAAAGCCGGCAGTTGAACGCACACGAGCAAAAACGACCCACCCCCTCCTCCCCCTTCCCTTAGCTCAAGGTCTGGATCCGCTATTGGCTTGCATAGTCTCGTGGAAGAGAAGATAATTGTGTTCTTTTCGGCTAGAACCAGTTACATTTGTTCCAACCAGTAGTCACCAAAGCATACGTTGTTTCCTACAAGTAACAACGTTCTGCCAGAAAGAGAGGTGATGAAAATGAATAAGTTTACACCAAGTTGTTAAAACCAACTTTATAAGATTTGTTTCAGTGTTAGTTGGGAAATAGATTAGTTTTGAGATCTTGATGATTGGAAGGGTTAAAGGATCGCATGAAGTAAGAGATGATTAATTAGTTATGGGACTTGAAATGACTTTTATATAGGCTTGAAATGCCAATATCTCGGATATCATAATTAGGTTGTTAAGAGTTCATACTGATAAAAGTTATATTTGAATGTTATTTTTGGATAAGTGATCTTTTATTGTATAAACAACTGAGATTTAATTGAAAAGCAAGATGTAAATGTGAAGTAATAAGAGCTAATTACGGATAGCATTTGAGGACATTCAGCAGTTAGGCGAGGATGAAAGGGCAAGGTGAAGTCAGTGAAGTTGTTCATCGATTGCAAGTATTTTTCGGTTACAAGAAGCCGTAGCTTTGAAAGAGTTACTTGGAACGCGGGCGCACCAGGTGGCTCACATGGGATAAAGATATAACCTGTGGATCAGGAAGTTAGGCAAGGCTCTTGTGCATCGTACGATTTGCCTTTGAAATCTAGGAAAATCGCGTCTTTCTTTTGGCTGGTTTGAAATATTTTACTGATTCAAAGAAGAAAAGAATTCTTGTCTCTTAGCAGAAAGAACATTCCTTTTAAGAGGCCAGTCTTTTTATATATTAGTTTGTTCATTTTTGCCCTCTTTTTTACATGCACTGCGTGACCGTGATTTGCTAAACTGTTTTTTTATAAAGCTTTTTATGTTATTTTTTTTTTTACGTTTGTTTGCTGCTGGTGGTGGTGGTTGCCTTTTTTTTTTTTATTTGTTACGACCAAAGTATTGATGGTTTCGCTTTTTTCGGTCAAAAGGACCTGTATGGTCGCTTATATTTGATGGTTGTCATGGCATTCTTGCTAGCCCATCCTAGTTAAATGCACATCGAAAGGATACTACTGCTGAGTGTTGTCTGAAGTCTTAATTTTGTTTTGGCTTATATAATAGGTATGTCATTTATGAGTTCTTTATTCATTGCTTCGATATACCACATGACCTTATTGTAATTTTTATTGTAGATTTATAGTTTTGACTTTCATCGCGCTTATTTAATCAGGATCAACGTGTAAAGTTTTAAGATCTTAATTTAATATCAATGTTACTTTGACTATGTTAATTGAGTAAACTGCCTTCAATTTCGTAGATTTTAGGGATAAAAAGGTCGCGCTATTTTTGGTGACACTCCACTCAGTGGATAGTGTGTATTCAAATTAACAACCGGAGGTTTATTATTTGGAAAAAAAATTCAGATATTGTGTTTTCATTTCCATTGGTTGAAAGACAAGAAGGATGCGCCGTCTTAGTGACCTGGCCCTTCGAGGTGGCGCGTAGAAGCCTGGTAATGATCTGCATTATCTTCTAGATTTGTATCAACAAACAAAGTTCAGGATTGTTATGGAATGATGGTGACGTAGTGTTATATCTTTGCAACACTCAGTGAGCTGTATAAAAGTATTGAAGCTAAGGAGAGTTTTGAAAGTCATTTAATGGGGCGTGTTGTGTTAGCCACTCCACCTAAGACTTGAACCGCAGGCTCAGTCAGGACTGGTACGAATTCTTCGACTTTTTCACGTAACGGTTTAACAGCACGTGACCATCAGGAAAAGCGCGGGTCGCACTGAACGAGATTAGTAGAAATGCATTTGTTCAAATGCTACATAAAGTAGGGACCAGGCTGAAGTTAGAAGCTATCTTTACTTTATTTTGAAAATAATTGCGGCGATGCTACGCTCGCCCTAATTTTTCTCAGATATATTGCTTATTAAGCCGGTAAACCAATAAAAACACCAAAATGATAAAGCTATGTTAGTTAGGTAAGTTCCTGCACTTTCTATCAGATTACTGGTAAATTAACCCACTTAGGTTAATGGAGGAAGAAGAGTAAAGAATAGTTGACTTTTCTTGTTACTTCGTGGGTTATTAGACCTATTAAGCTAATTAACACATCGAAAGAGAGGTCCATTGCTTAATTGACTGATGTTTCTTGAAGTTTGATCACATTAGTTGTTAGGATAATAAGGAAGAATGAGTTTAAGACTGGAAGTGTAATAAAACAAAGTATTATTTGAACAATGCGTCGTGCGTTATTTCTGAAGGTAACGTGTGACAAGGAAAAATATCTTCGTTATGGCACAGGAATGAGCCATTTTTTTGTCTCCTTCCTCTCTTTTTGGTGTTTGGTGGTATGGAATTTTTATACCTTGCGTACCATTATATTCTCTTTATTTGGTATGACCGCCTTCTGTGTGAATCAGCAGAGTTCCGCGGTTAGCCGGCTGCGCACTAAAATGGCGGGAAAATCTTCCCGCCAAAGCCTGGTGCCGCCGAGAACGTCGATCGACCAACGGTTCGCTTCTTTTTCGAAAAACAGTTTCATTTACTTGAGCTAATATGATGTTCCGGCATTCCCTTATTATTTTCCATAGGTGTTCACAGGTTTCACTGAGTGATTACTCGACGAAACGTTTGCGAAGGACACATATTGCATGAACCAAATGAGGGACCACGAAGCTCTGTTTTGTGGCTCTTTGCCAAGCTTCGACGAACTGATGGCGGTCAAAGCCATCATTCAACCGAAAAACGACGATAAAATAAGCACTATCCAGCCCTTGTGTTGCAGGTATAATTTATTTCGGTACCCTTAAGATTATTGCTATTTTTAAATTTGGCTTTTACTAACAAAGCATGAAGCTGGTAGCTTTTGTATCGGTTGATTTAAGGATGTTTGAATTTTGCTTGCAGAGAGTTGATTTTTACGGAACCCAAAGTTCTTGTGTCACCATTAATGGAAGGAAGGAATCAACTGTTTCTCATAACTCCGGTAGGTATCGATTATTTTAAAACAGAACTAAACCAGCAAGCTAATCTGTCTACTGCATAACTTGTACTTATTGCAAAAAGATATACATCGGCGAAACAGGAAGACGACTATAGATGACCGATTCCGAGAACACCTTCGCGACCTAGAAGGGAATTACAAGGACGCATCAAAACCAGTCGTTAGACACTTTAACCTACCTAATCATTCTAAGCAGCATATGGCAATCTGCGGTCTTTCCTTACATTTAGGTAGCTCGGAAAGTTGCAAAACTCTTGAACAAAAGTTTATCTTTTAAATCGACGCTCTTAACCCCACAGGTATCAAGGAACGCTTTTCATACTACTAATTTATTCGAGTTTTTCTCGTCGCCATGTTCCCACCACTTTTTGCATAAAACCCATACACAACCCACAATTCCTCCATTCGCTCTAACGAAGGACTAACGCACGAAACGTCAGCTTTTTAGCTCTTTACGGTGGCCAATTTACAATTTCAACTTAGTTGATATTACCAAATCAATCTGTTGTGAGTCTGACCCGTGGAACAGACTTCAATTTGGCAAATTATCCTGAGCTAATTTAAAGTTGGGGGTTGTTATGTTTCGTACACCTAGTTAGGCCGGCTTAAAGTGCTTGACAGATGCTCTTAACGCCCTTTCTTTCTTTTTTTTTTCCACAACATAAAGAACACAACAGTCATATAAAATTGTATAGTATAATGAACTGGGTTGAAGGTTTAGCTCGCTTTATCCTTACCTGCAGACTCAACCGAGCCGCCATGTGTATTATAGCAACTGATAATTATTTGATTTCATATTCTTGCAGTACTTCCACTGCTTTTTTCATATGGTTTTCTCATATCTCTAAATGCACAGATAATCTTGACTGATGCTTTTCCCTCATTAGAAAAGTTCGGAGATTGCATGTATCCGCGCCTAACTCAACAATGAACGAAATGGTTGAAACGTTTTCTGGTGAAAAACAAGTTGAATAATTGAATGGGCTGACGAAGTCTAAAAGTCATTCAGCAAGATTATCATTGATTAACTTTTTTGTTTGTTGTTGATGTTATTCAGTGTTGTTCTTATTGCCTTTGTTGTCGTTTTCTGTCTTTGACGTGGTTGTTCTTGCGGATGTTATAAAGCTTAGCTATGTACTTAAACTGTTACTTACTCCTAAATTTTCCCTTCACTCATGTACATTTTAGAAGCCAACATCTGAGTCTCCTCGATTTCAAAAGCTATTGCAAAGGCTGAACATACAGGTAATGTATGCAGGTACTCAAATGGAAAAGTGAAATCAGCCCAGCAACAACCAACACTTTACCTCTCCAAAAATAGTTGGCAATGGATAGCTATTGAAACCCCGATTCGCCAAAAAAGAAAATACTTCCTCTGACAAAGTCTACTACTAAAGTTTTGTAGCAAAGACTGATCAGGGCCGGGTTGTTCAAAGCTGGATTAAGATAACCCAGGGTTACTTCATATATTCATTGTAACACGGGGTTAGTGTGAAATCTGATTTCAGATCTGAAGGCATTAAAAGAAAATTCAGTATGATTATTTTTGTCTACACTTGGGTTAGCGCTAATCGGTCTTTGAACGACTGGGCTTAGATGTGTAAACTGCCCCCCCCCCCCTTTCCTCTCCAGTCTATTGTGTGCACAGAACAAAAACTGTGTTGATCCATTCTTTACAGATTGCAGAACCAGTAACCCTGACAAGGAATGTGTTTCAGTTTTGTTTTTCTTTCACAATGAGACAAAAACTTGCACCGTGGTGGAACAAAGCTGGCGAATTTCTTGTCCAAGGTAATTTTGATGTGGCCGCAAATCACTCAATGATTTTTAAATTTTACATCTTGTGAAGACTGCAGTTTAAAACTGTGCGTAAGGATGTTTGTTCATTGACAGGATATATTTGCTCCCGGACTATGATATTTTAACACTTTCTTTGGCCTCTAGGGGACCTTTTATTATTTATTTCCTGGAGGGGAGGGGCTGTCGAAGAATTATTTTTGTTAAGGGGGAACGACATGGTTTTCTGGGGAAAATTAACTACCTATTAATTACCAGGTAGGGAATAAGAATCATAAGAATAATACAAAGCCTCATGGGGGGATCAGCTAAATTTTATCGTGACACAATCACAATCACAATCATTTGTCCCTTTCCCACCTCCACGCGCTCCCTTGAACCCTCTCCTTGAGGTAATAATGACTGGCTTCTAAATGCTTACAAAAATACTAAGGTTATTTTGCTTGTCAAACAATAAATTAATTCATTTTGTACTGTCTAATTTAATTCATTTATCTATTTTTCTACGTAGGTCGAGACTTCATGCTGGAAAATTCAAAGCTAAATGCAATCTGTGAGTAATACGTTATCTAGGGGAGTCAGCTGAAATTTAATTCAGTAACTTAGAAACCGCCAACAATTACCTGAACCTGGCAACGTTGGCCAACTCCCTTGGCTTCGTCAAAATCAGTTTGAAAAAGGGTATAAAACAAAATTTTTCATCACGCGGAGAAGAGCTGCACACTGTTGCCCAACTTTAAGAACTCTCAGTTTTTAACTTTCAGCTTTCTGAGAGAAGCTTGAAGATATAACGTTTTTGGCACGAGGATGCTCAGTGATCCAGGAAGTATGTTACAAAATAAATAGCTAACTCTGTTTTCGCCATTCGTTCTATCTTATGCAAACCACCTGTTCCCCAGTTTGAAATGTAGTGACTCCCTCCTTCTACCCTGCAAAAAAGTTTTTTGGCCTTTGAAATCTTTCTAGTGGAGTTTACGTTATAATTGCAGCTTTGGAAGTAACAATTACCGACAAGATTTCCATTGGATTGCAACCCTTTTCTCTCAAGCTAACCCCGTGCAAGGTAGTTTACTTTTACACTAAGAGCTTCTCAGTGTCCACTTAAAAGTATTCAATTTTACGAGGCAAACCACCATAGGAAAAGGGCAACCATTTTATCTACGATGAGTAGTTTTTTTTTAAGTTTTTTCTTGGGTAAACCTTCGAACATCACGATGATCTGCGTAACGATATGTGCATTTGCGGCGCCAACCAGGCTCGCGAGACACCGTCCCTATGTTCACCCTAAGTTGTATGTTCTTTGAACTCTGCTTCGTGTTTTGTATTTTTTTATCTAGCCTGAACATTTCACCGCGTCAGTAAAAGCATTAGAAGAATTCCAAAGCAACCAAGAAACTCGCATTAGTGACATCGCTATTTCTGACGACTTGTGTTTTGTGTTGCCAAGGTAAGCTACGTCACAGGGGCATTCACTATACTAAAATTATATATGGGTGATTGGCATCAGAGTTGAAGTCCCTATGACACTTTTTTTTATTATTTTACATCAAAATATAATGACTCTAAAACATGTTTTTGCAACATTTGGGGTATTTTTCCCTTTTCTGAATTTTTTATCAAGCTCTATAATCCGCCGATAAAATGTCTGGCAGAGCAAAGAGGGACTGGGCGCCGTGACGTCACAGTACGAATCTTGTTGAGAGAAATATTCTTCATTGAGTCAGGGATATTCGAAAAACCCCAAACTACACATCGAAACGGCATTTTTTGGCTAAAAAGATTATAAACAGTAGCTTCCACACTCACTTTGCTTCTTTGATAAAGTTGGTGTTACTACCGTTACGTCACGGGTTCCAGTGCTCTTTAAGGCGGCCAAAGAGATACGGGGAGCCTAAGTTCGATACAATTTCGGACTTTTATCGCCTCGTAAAATAACAAAGACGCATCAGAATCACCCACAAATCTTACCAGACACCCTCTAAATACTTCTATTTTTATAATTTAATGCTAAAAAAGTAGGTGTCATAGGGACTTTAAATTTCAGATGAAACTTCATAAATACATTGCAAAAAAGTTTTCATGGTTTTTTGAGAAAATAATTATTTTTCCTGTGAAAGATAAAGGCCGTAGTGGATGTAATGGTGTAATAGGGTGATGGACGTCGACCTAATGGGTCACATTTCGACCTTTGTGAGAGAAGCCTGAAATAAAGGCGTGGTGGGCTTTTTAATGATCTTGATATCCTCATCAATTAATAGATATATCTTCCTAAACTTTTTGTCGTTTAGTATCGCTGAGTATTTTTACGAGTTGTGTCGTATTTTGACGAGTCCGTAAGGCGAGTCAAAATCCAAACGATCCAACACGCCTAATTGTTATTTCAGTGCGGGCGAATTTAACTGGATTTTCTCTAGAGTGCAAATACCGCGAGATATTTGTACTCGTTTAGGGCGTTATTTGTACTCTACGAAGCACAGTTGGATAATAATAATAATAAAAGTTATCTGGCTTACAGCAGAAAATCGAGTTCAGAAATACCTGGAAAGTTGTCCTTTCGCCAGAAAGCAGACATATCGAGTACATCTCATGAATTATCTTGCTGTCGCAAACTGACCTTTGCACTGATGTTTTAGCCTGAAAAAAGGAAGGATCGTTAGCATAACACACCAACTTCCTGATGAATGCCCTTTTGCAAGTTACGAAGACTTACGAAAACATTGGAAACTGATGGTATGAACATTGAAAGATTTTAGATTATTGGAACGGAGAACCTATTCAAAGTAGCCTATTCCAGGCGTTCAGCGCGACAAAACGGAGCGCGATAGTGCACAGCACGATAATATACACGGTGCGATAGTGCACGACGCGGTAGTGCACGGCGCGGTAGTACACGGCGCGATAAGACACGGCGCAGTAGTGCATGGTGCAATAGTACACGGCGCGATAGTACACGGCTTGATAAAACACGGCGCGACAGTACGCGGCGTCATACTACTCAATGCAATAGTACACGGCGCGATAGTACACGTTGCGATAATACACGGCGCGATAGAACACTGCGCCACAGTACACAGCGTCATACTACACAACACGATAGTACACGGCGCGATAGTACAAGGCACGATAGTATACGGCGCGATAGTACACGGAGTGCGACAGCACACGGTGTCATACTACGCACGACGATAGCACACGGCGCGATACTACACGGCACGATAGTATACGGCGCGATAGTACACGGAAGGATAGTGCACGGAGTGTGACAGTACACGGCGTCATACTACACAACACGATAGCACACGTTTCGATAGTACACGGCGCGCAACAGTACAAGGCACGACAGTTCGTGGCGCGATATTACCTGGCGCGCTAGATAGGAGGGAGCTTTGGTCAGATCGGGTCGCGTAAAGAACACCACGTCAGTACACGGCGCCACAGTACACGGCCTCATACGACACAACGCGATAGTACACGGCGCGATAGTACACGGTGCGATAGTACATGGCGCGAAGGAACACGGCGCCACAGTACACGGCGTCATACTACACAACGGGATAGCACACGGCGCAATAGTAGACAGCACAATAGTGCACGGCGCGATAGTACACGGCACACTACTGTACACGGCATCATACTACATGACGCGTGATAGTACAAGGTATGACAGTTCATGGCGAGATATTTCACGGCGCGATAGATCGGAGAGAGCTTTGGTCAGATCGGGTCGGATAAAGAACACCGCGTTCCCAGACCTCCCTCCTTCTTCGTTCTGCCGCTATTATCACGCCGTCTACCATCGTCTGCTTTACTAATTGAACGTACGGAATAGAATAACTTCAAGTTTGTGTTAGAATCTGTGAGATATCATTCATATTGCTTCTATGGGGAATTAAAGAACAAATATGAGTGTAACTCCCCCAGCCTTTGATAACTGGGAGTAAAACACTACTTTAGGATTTCTTATTCGCTTTGATGAGTGAAATCACGCACCACATTTACTTAAATACTTAGCTTTGTTTTTATTTATTTCAACAGTATGGATACAGACTTCCATCGGAGGAAAACGTTTTCTACAATGTACATTTCTATTACATCAAGGAGAAAATATTTACGTATCTTTTGCTCGACGTTTTTCGAATAGTGTAACTTCCAAAGTTGTAATGTGGCCTTTAGAGTTTTCACCCTCACAGTAATTGTGATTTAAAAACAATTTTTCCTCATTTTAAGAATGTTGAATTTACAGTGATTTAGGGGTTTTAGAGGCATGACTAAAAAACAAAAACAAAAATCAGGGGGTAAAGGCTACACTTCGCTTGACCCAGACTTGACCTTTTTAAGATTTCGTGGTAGTAGATGGAGAGAGACAATTATCTTAACATTGACGCAGGTATCCAGCCAGCTGTATCCGAAGCAGCCAAGTGTTAGTGTCTTCTCGCTGTGATCACCAATTAATTTTCAACTCTTTTTTAAGAGACATTTCAATGCGCATGCAAACTGTATGCGGGGCGCCACTGACTTTCACGTCTTCTCCACTTTATCCAACGAGCAGCCTTAAACTCGCTTCTCATGCAAACCACTCTAATTTGACAAAGAAAACACCTCCTCAGTTCAACCAATGTAGACCCTTCACTGTACAAGGAACAAATACACTCGAGGACACTCGGAAACAAGTAGTCACATCTTCGTCATCTCGTTTGGTTTCGTCTCAGCCGACTTCTTACAACCCTGTCGTTCAACCCTCAACCAAATCCAGTGGTTCACCATTTCCACACCTTCCTTTATCACCATATGTACCTTGCTTCACCAAAAATAGTTCTGTTAGCAGCATATATCATGATTCTGACTTAATTACAGCGTCTTCCAACTCTGTTTCCCGGTTCACCGGCACACGAATAACTCCAATGTTTTCAAGGAAACGAGTACCGAGCCATGGAAAGGAACAACATACAGGAAACAATGAAAAAGGGCACAAAACAGATCTTAGAGGAGGATGTACACCACGAGCAACAACGGTGCTCTCTGGAGTTCCATCGATTTACCACGCTGATAAACCACAAAACAATCTACTTTCAAATTCATCGCTAATTTCCCGCCAAGCAAAAATGAGGAAGACAGTGGGTAATGAATCAGGAAATAAAACAACACGCTTGAGCCGCACCCTGCTCGAAAGCAGGAACATTCACGCTGAAGAAAGACGAAGTATGAGTGATGCAGCAAATGAAGATATTGGGGAAAGCGTTTTAAGCCAAATATGGGCGATAGAGAATTCACCGACAGAACTTTTTGATGGGGCATCATTCTCTAGTCGTGACATCTCCTTCGGTCACAGTTCACGCCACTCGTGTCAAGTTTCCAGGTCGTTACCTCAAACGAGACCTGGACTAGTAATAACACAAGCATCTAAACGCAGAAATATCGCGGCCTCCCCTACAGACACCTCAAGTTGTGGATCATCGTCATCATCAGTAACAGAAAATGCGGGACCGGGCACCAGTCCCTGTCTGCTGAATAAGCCTCGTTCTTCTCCTGTTCAGGTACATAGTTTATTTGAAATTATCTCGCCATATTGTGATCGTTAAACTGAAAATGGGAACTGAAAGGGTAAATGGAAGATACGCAACATTCAGTCTACCCTTGAAAAATGGGAAATTCAGTTATCGCCAGGAGTTGACGTGTTTGGGCCATTCAAAACAGCAGTAGTAAACATAGGAAATATGCCATTGCAGTTAGCGCTACAAACCTAGTGAGAGAAAAACCTGTATATACATGGGAATATACTCTGCTGAAGAGGTTTATCAGATTCAGTTTAAACACCAGAAAGTTATGGGGAAATGGATAATTTATTTCTTCACTGATATTATCAGAAGGCACTTGAAATCCGAAGTATTCCCCTATGCTTTAGGAAATTCATCATAATCGCAAAAGTATCCAATCCCTAATAAAGGTCTTCAATTTGATTTAGAGCTTTTTCCCGTCACAGATCAATGACCTACCAAATGAAGGCATGCCTTCCAAAGGGCTTAAGTCAAAGCGGAAACTTCAGGAGAATGTGGATGTAAGAGAGATGGCTATAAAGCAACAGGTAAAGTAACTACAACCCTCCCTTCTCGTTCCACATTGCTTTTCTCAAATGTTATCATCTTCGAGGGCATTGTCTCCTTCATTGTATATTTAGCCCGAAGTCATCGGCTGAATTTCTGTCGAGAACTTAAGATAATGATAAGATCAGCTTGTAGAGCAGTGATCGTTGCGAACAGATAAGAGTAATTCTACGACAACAATAAGAAAACTATTTTCCAATTCCTGTCTCATTTCACCCCTTATTCTCAAAAGTGTTCACAACTTTGTTTCAAACTCAGTAGTCCACCAGATGCGTTCTTTTCACGAAAAGATGGCTATCTGACAAAGGAGGCAGATCCTCCTATTTCTAACCTTCAAGGTATTTAATCCTGTTTTGGCAATGCTAACAGCTCTTCCCTTTCCATCCGCTTTTCCATTTAGTTTCAAAATGTCATTTTGAAATTTGGACCCCAACCCTTTTCCTTTCAGGGAGTCAGCCTCCCCCTCAGCTTTTGATCGTCACTTTACCTTTATTTTGAGTGCTAAGACATATACCATACATTTAGCTCCACAAGGTAAACATGGTGACTTTGATCGACTGGCTTAAAAAGCGAGGTGTCCCTGTGAAATCTAAGGACAAGAAAGAAGAGCTGGCCAACAAAGTGAAGGGGTACATTTCAATGATTGTGCATGAACAATAAGTATCGAATAACTATTTTCATTATTCCACGATTACGTCGTTTTAGCTTATTAGGATAATGGAACGCACAAAATATGCCACGGTATGACGCTGTACACAGACAGAAACGATCCTCGTGATCTTTGATTTCTTTTTCCGTATTTTCAGATATTTTTTTCAGCAACGCACTTCAAAAGCCACATGAGTTCAAATTTGTTTCTAAAGTACACTTCAATGGTTTCTTTCATGTTGTTTCTTTTTTCATGTACTCCTTATGCCATCGGCACGATGCTGAGGTATGACCGAGCGTAGTTTGGAGCAGTAGAGGCCATAAGACTAGAAAATGAAAGAGAAGAGGAATAATAAATCTCTTATTCGTTGCTTTAACACACAATACAAGCAGACATTTTGCTCACTGATCTTATTTTCCTTGTTCCGACGGGGCTCGGAAATATGCTCTGCAACTTGCAAAATATGCGCGCGTGTTATATGATAGACCATTGAATGAGTTGTATCTATGCTTTCCATTAACCATGGAATTAAGAAAAATACACGAACACGCTCCTTTCCCCCCCTTCAAAAACATGGGCACTGTCATGATACCTTTGTTATTAAAAAGCTAGTCATGAAATTTACAGGGGCATAAAAACAAATACACGAAGAAAAATGATCATGAAATGGAGCTTTTGATAAAACACCGCAATCGTAGGATGAATAAACATACGTTTTTATTTTAATGACCTCCCTCTCTTAAAACGAATAAATTTAAACAAAAAGCAGTTTTCCTTAATGAACACCCCCTCTTTAAAACGCGTTGGTATTCCTTCTAACTTAAAAGCTATTGCAACACGCACGAGAGAAGCTTTCAGACCCGAGGTGAATTCCTCTTTTCTACCAAATTTGTAGGGAGAAAAGAGTTCTTCTCAACCCTCCTCAATATTCATAGAATAGTTCTCATCTAGAATTGTTCTCAGAGAGATTTATTTGTTAGAAATACCAGGAGGCTGTTTCAACAAGAACATTTTAAACAGTGTTATTATTTTACTGATGTAGCTCTGTTATTCTTTCGGAGTAATGAGTTGTGTCTTTACAAGGAAGTAAAATTAGTGACAGATTAATAAACGATGAGCTCTTCTTAGCAGCCTCCTTAGACACAGGAAAATAAGATAACCAGCTTGCGATGTAATACAACACTTCAAGAGTTAACACTCATCTCTAAGAACACCATGACTAAAGAGACAGTCATCTTTTTCCCATTATTCATGGTTTGAGTGACGAGCAACGACACGGAACACGCTTAACGGAAGAAAAGAAAACAAGAAAGAAAAAGGTATTTCGTCTTTATGTTTTTCTTTAAACTTAAAACAATAAGGAATAATTGACTTAACAAGCGCGGAGTAAAACTCACGTTTTTCGCAAATATCGCGTCGGTTCGTTTCAAAGCCGATATCGCCGAAATTAACAAAAAGTGCCAAATACGAGCTATATCGGACTGGGTTAGATTTGTAATTACTTCTCAAGTCGTGTTTTCAACCCGGTCTAGGCACGTGCCTCAGCTTAAGCGACTCGATACATGTGAAATTGGAACACTGGACATTTTTTCAGAAGGTGAATTACATTTGATGTAGAACGCTGGTTTAACACTGTACTTGACTACTTTGGTCAAGGTAGCTTCACCTGCCAAAATTCTTCAGTTGTTCGTCACTTGAAATATGTGGTTGCTAAAGAACTTAAACGTGATGATGCTCAGAAAAAGTTTTTGCTTTATCACTTATAATGCTACTCGTGCAACTGTACAGAACGACTTCTTTCCATTTGCAACCTCAGTATTAAAGGTAAACTACTGAAGCGTGAGCGCTACTCAGTTGAAATATTCCAACGTAGCATCGCGCGAATGAACGTGATTTTCCACTTCGATACCTCTATGCCCAGCTAAAAACATCCGGCGAGTAGGTGAACAACAACGTGCGCTTTCATGATATTGTTCTAGAACTTTGAGAGTCTTGAGAGGAAAATGCGCTGATACATCACCCAAACCCACGTTTCCGGCGCTTTGTTAATATTTCTGATCATTTTTTTGTTTGTTTTGACATTCCAGTCATAACAAATCTTTTCAAACTAGTCTTTGTCTCAGAATTTATTTGGTAGCAAAACCAAGGTGCTAGTGTTTTTCTTTTTTTTTTTGGAGCTTAAACAGAGAGAGACAGTTTTAAGTAAAGCGCCAGGAATGTATCACGGTAATTTTTAATCGAAGTGTTAAATTATATTCAAAAAATCTGATAGTCTATCTATTGCTTTCCTTTCTTATTCTTGAACTTGGTTATGCGACGTTTTTAAGTTTTTTTGTATTAGTACGTTTTACTCAGTATAAAAGGTCTCGACAAATGCATACCTCTAGGACAAAACTTACGACTGTAATCGAGAAAACTTCAGGAAAGGCGTCAATGGTTTTGTGGGTCATTAGTGAACAAAAGCCCCTTTCTCCCTGAAAGGCGAAGACCACTTACAAGTTTAAAATAAAAACAAACCCCTCAAAGATAATCACACCTTAAAGTAATGAGTAGGACTACAAAAAAAGATTGTTTTATTTCCAGAAAGGTCAGTCCATGCACAATCGTTAGACAATTTGGTTCTAGACAATGAAATGATCACTAAATTGCACATTTTCTTAGTACAGCGCCAGCGCTCCGTTGAGCAATTTTATATATAAGCAACATAAACAAATTAGGAAATAAAAACAGCACCAAAATTTTGCGCAATGTCCATAGGTTTGTAAAGAACGACATGAAGAAATATGGTCTACGACACATACTTTGATAATCATTTCAGAGACAAACAAATTAGAGAAGTGCGCAGACTGAACAACATGGCCACTTAAAAATAGAACTACATCAAAAACCGCAAGCCATTTACCTGTATGTTGCCTAAGTACTTCAAGTGCTTATAAAGTCGTGGTGTCTATCGGGAGTAGATTAATTAGCACTGTACGTAAATCATGATGGAGAAGGTTTTGTTCTTTACAAGTGCCCTTGGGGTAGCAATTCCTGCTCAGACGTACTTCACACGTCGCCGCTGTGGTAGCGCGTAAAATGGCCTCTTGAAATCCACTAAAACAACCTAAAGGCCCTTGATAACAACATGATAAATATGTGCTTTGTCATGGGCGAGGAAGAACGCGAGAGAAACAAAACCGCAACAAAAGAAAGCAGCTCCGGTTTGCCATGCAACATCCATGATCCTGATAATCAAATAGCTACGCGGATACTTTTGCAATTGTTTAAAAGAATTGTTCATCTAAAAGACACTTTTTGATATGGAATGAGACTTGAGCTAACGTTATAATCTCCAGTCGACATACAAAAAAGATAATTGAATTAAAGAAGTTCAGTCAAACCACTATTTTGTGCTTCCATGGTCTTTAAAAAAAAAATAACAAAAAATCACAAGTTCAAAATCAGAAAGCGAGCTTTCCTTTGAGGACTTCTTTGTTACTTTCTATCCTAAGAATTAGTTGCAGATGGGTGTAAGCAAGCATACTTCTACAATTCACTTTGCGAGTCACAGAATATGAGCTTTTTGTAAAGTCTTACTAGGTGAACTGTTGCTCTAGGATTTTAAGTAACACTGGCGTTTAAGTGACCAAAAAAAAAAGCTCAGCAAAACTCCTGGTGTTAGAAAATAGAACGAGACAACTTCTGAGATTTTGCTCAGTGCGATAAGAGGCAGAATTTTTTAAACAATTTCTCAAATTTACATCTATTTCGTTGTTCTCGTTATTTGTCATTGTTGTTTTCGCAGGAATCACGAGAGATTTCTGTTTAACTATCCACCATCGCTGTTCAGGCATAGAACGACGTGAAAGCTGAGTTTGCAAACATTAAAGGGGAGGTAGCAGCCATTAAAAAGGGCACAACAAAGGCATAGAAAAACTATTCCTAGTAAAAATCGGTTCACAACAATACTGTGTGCATGAGGGATTGCCTTGTTTCTAACTATCAAAGCAAGTCATGTTATACACGAGAAGTTTTTATCATGCCAGATATCAGAAATTGTTAGGATCACTTTCGGTTTGCAACTGACGGGTTTCTTTTGTGGGGCTCGAAACGCTTCGTTAACTATATCTAGTTGATTTCGTCGACATAGTTCGGTATTGATAATATTGTTTTGACTTGTTTTGTCTTAGTGTTTTCTTTACGCTTAGTTCCACCCATGTGTTCTTTTGTCCACGGTCCAAAAGCAATCCATTTGATTATTTTACAAAATAACAGGCTTCCGAACAAAGGTTCATTTATCTGTTCCCACAAAAGACCTCACACAACAATAACTTTTTTTAAACCGACACGACTTCTATTTTTCATCAATAAAGAATGATCTAAACAAATTCTTTGCCCTCTGCAAAGAAGGCACGTTTCTCACAATTCGAGAAAATGAAAAGAGCCGTGATGTGATAAAAGAATTTAATACCTCGTATCAATATGGTTACAGGTTTTCGTGCCGAAATATGCTGATCGTGATTAAGGGTCCTATTGCTCACGCGAAAACGCGAGGTACACAAATCGAATGCGCAATCTAGCATGTGACAGGTGGCACGTGCTGTAAAAACGTATGACACGTATAATTGACCAATCATAAAGTATTTTATATGTGGAAAGATTTAAACCGGAATGCTACCGATATGGCAACGTTGTTGTAGTTCGATCCAAAAAAACATGTATCACTTCCCATTCACAGCCCCATCCCGGTGTTTAAGAAGGGTGGGGGTCGCGAACGACTCCTTTGGTACCTGAAGTTTCAGCTAACAAACCTGGGAAAAACCGTTCCCTTCCCATCCAACTCTTTACTTATTTAAAAATCAAGCATTTGCAAAGAACGTTTCGAGCTTCATGATCTGCTGTTGCATCTACATTTTAGCTTAAATCATGAAAAATCCTCCGTTCTTCTTTCCATGTCGGTAAATATAGTTAGAAAAGATTTCGTTCTGATCTCTTAACCAAAATTTCAAAGAGGGCGGGTGAGGTTGGAATTGCTTTGAGAA